AAGTCAATGCGATTATGCGTTTTAGCACTAAACATGAAACAGTCAGATCAACAACATGAATGGCTGCTGCTTTACATTTTAACACACGGATTCACTTTGGCTGCTTAACAATTTAACATATTCTTGCCTTTCTAGCATGCCGGGAGAAGACGACATCGGATGAGATGATAGTTTTGCATCATGGACCGCGTGAAATCTTAGCCTCCAGCACGTATGATTGTCGTGAATTTATTCGGTGATAAAGCATTCAGCGAATCCAGGCATACCAAACTGAATTTGAATTTTTATGTTTGAAGAAAATCCCCCTGAAATTCTAGCCTTCTGGCTTTTCTGGCTGCTAAGTTTACTAACTTCCAAGTTTACTAGCTTTTCTGGCTGCCAAGTTTACTATATTTCATAGAGTTTTCACGCGTTCGTTCGTGAGAGACGCAGGCATGCATGAAAGTTAGTATTAAGTTCTTAGGGTAGCACTTAGTCAGGGAACCCATTGGCAAAATTTCAGTGTCCTCAGCTTGCTTGGTTGTCGAGTTGAAATATCTAAAAAACGAACACACACACACACACACACACACATGCAACAGACTAGATCGTCAAAATGTTTTTTTGTTGACTGTTGCGGCGCTCTAGTGCGGTACTGCAAAAACGCATAATTAGCTGTCACTATTGGCACTGCCGAATATTTCCGCCTCTCATACTGAGTGAATACAGACGGCTTTTTGGCTTCGATGATTTTGAAATAAATATTTCGAAAATTTCCTTGTTTAACTACTCTTTTTGAGCAGTTGGTTGTTACTAAATGATTTTTGGTCATTTGCAAAGTAGTGGATTTTTTAGGCACGTAGAAATATTCCAGAAGCATTATTAGCATGGGATACCCACACTGATTGTCCGGACATACTTGGTATTCTTGGTTTTAATTATGCTCCAATGTAATGAGACGTTTTTTTGTAGGAGTTCGATGCCAAATGCATTCCGTGTATTTTGTGTTGTTGCAAATATCGTTGTTATAATTCATTGGAACGCATGTATATATTTTTTTATCAGCGAATTGATTGGCCTTGGCTCCGACGGATGGGTCTACGGTGAACTCAACAAACAAAGCCTACCCGAGTAAGTGACCAGTAAAATAAGCAATAATATCAACTTCAAACGTATCCAGTCAGCTGCTCCTTCATCGTTTTGCGCTTCGGGGCATCCTTGCAGCAATTGGGAATTTCTCCACGGTAAAGGTGATGCACATACATCGAATAGGCAGTGAGTGCAAAGTGAGTAGTATGCAGCTCAGGAT